ACTCTACTTTGCAGGTCAGTGATAACTAAAAGAAATGAAGATTTTAGAAATCCATTTATTTTTAAGACATTTCTTTGCTATGTTATCATACCACATGTACTGTATTACAATTGTGTATTCCTGTTTCGTGCACTGGACTTGCCTTTGAAGTGCTCAGTTAAAAATGATCTCGTATGACTTATGATGTTGGCACCGTTTCTGGATATCCTTCGTAACTCAGTGAATCCAAGTATGCAAATTTGTAGCCTTTTCATTAGGAGGCTTCAGGATCCAGTGATCCAGGGAGGCAGCATTTACGTCACCATTAAGATAAAATTCAAATTGATTATACCCTATAGCAAGAACTGTACTAAAGTTTGGCAGCCATGTAGTAAACCCCGCATGAAAATTGTGTGCAAGTGTATGGACAAAGCAGTTTTCTTTGTATCTCTGATAATTGTTTCTATAGATATTAGACCACTGAGATTATTGTAATGAATTATGCAGGAATATTGCAGTGTTTTTCATTAAGCAGAAACACTACTTTGAAACTGTGCTTGAGAAAGGTGTGCCAATCAAACTTTTTCGTCCAGGCCAAAAGGCTGCCATGCTAGAGAACTGTATTTGTGTGACGGGCAGTGCCATGTGGGTTATTTCGTTGAGGTCTTATATTTAAATAATATTGTGATTTTATGGTTAGGTTATATCAACTCTTGCTTTTATCTAACTTTTTATTTTACATTTACCTCGCGCCATACCCACTGCACCGTGCCTGGCCAAATTTCAGTAAAAGTTTAGTATATGACATTCACAATTTACATAGTCACAACTTTCTTGTTTTATTAGATGTGATGTGATTAAAACATATTTTGTATTTGTTATAGCATCCACTTTCCCCATTCAACACAATTTTAGGACCTGTGGCAACTAAAATATTTTTTGCCGGAGGGGGGATGTAAAATAGCATCGTGGGCTGTGATATTTATTTATATGGAAAATCTAGCATATAAAGATGGCCTAAGACTTGGCTCACGTGCATAATAGGCATGGTTGTTTCTGCGCTTGTTGGCATTCCGATAAATAACAAATAGCCTGCATGTATAATCAAGCAGGACTGAGCTGATGGTAGATCTCGGGTATATCAGTATCTGTGCAGTGTAGTATTCTGTTAAGGGTCCTACAATGTGGATGCACCCTTCCATCCATTTATGGGTGTTTGTTTTGTTTTGTCAATCCATCCATCTATCCATCATATATCTATTCATCTATTCACCTCATCCATCCATCCATTCACCATCCATCTATTCATTCATTTATCCATCCAATCATATCCATCCACCCACCCACCCACCACCCACCCACCCACCCACCCACCCACCCACCCACCACCCACCCACCCACCCACCCACCCACCCACCACCCAACCCACTCCCCATCCATCCATATTCACCCATCCATCCATTATCCACCTATCCATCCACCCATCTATCCATCCATCTATCTGTCTATTAATCTATTCACCCATCCATCCATCCATCCATCCAACCACACCCATCCCATTCACCCACCCACCCACCACCAACCATCATCCATCCATCCATCCATCCATCCCATCCATCCATCCAACCCACACATCCATCCATCACCCACCCACCCACCCAACCACCCATCCATCCATCCATCCATCCATCCATCCATCCATCCATCCAATCCATCCATCCATCCACACATCCATCCATCCATCCATCCATCCATCCATCCATCCATCCATCCATCCATCCATCCCATCCATCCATCCATCCATCCATCCATCCATCCATCCATCCATCCATCCATCCACCTCGAGATATATTTGCTGTACCTTTCCTCCTGCCACCAATTTCATCATCTGTGTGTATCGGTGTCTCCAGGTGCAGTAACTAACCCCCTCCCCCCCCACGACTGTACGGTCAAATTACTTCTTATTATCTCATAAACCTGTCCAATTATGTACTAATTTCATTATGGTATATAGCATTCGCCAGAAGGGTGTGCCGCTCACTTTCAAAACCACAGATTCAGAGTCAAAACACATTCTGTGTTGTTTTATGAGTGCTAAATCCGTATGTGAAGAATTGTGTAGGTTCAGATTTATTATGTGAGTGAATTATAGCATTCTATGATAATGTCTTGTATTTTGAGGCATAAAGGTATATAAGGGTAATGTCATAAAGGAATAGATGAAATGAAAGTGATTGTCAAAGAAAAATTAGTGGTAACTCTTTATTTTTGCATTTGCTTTCAGATAACTGTCTAGGTTTTCCCAGACGAGCCAGATGCCAAAGATTGCGGAAATGTCACACAGCAAGCAGCTCACAAGCAAGAGAGACTTTTTAATGTATTTAATATTTAGATACAGAACAATTCTGGTTTTCTTTTGCATTTTTCTCATTCAGTGTTTTTCTGAATGCTTAGCAAAATGTGATAGGTTGATGAAGTTTATGAAGTGTTAAAAGTTTGCTTGGTCTTCATTATATTGAGTATGTGTCTGTTTATTTTTTTATGTGTGTGTGTATCTTTGCTATTGCCCAAAATAGTCTTAAACTTTACTTACCCCACGATCTTCCAAGGATGGCAGACACTGGTGGGTGGTATTTTGTTGCGAATTCTCCTCTCAAATGCCTCAGTGTCAGTGTGTCCTCCAAGACCTGACAAAGCAGGGTTCATTTCTCTGCTGCCATCATTTTTGTTCTTCTCTGCTGGTATTGTTGCAAGTTCAAAAGCTCTTGCAAACTTGGTGAGTCCCTTGATGGTGTTTTGTTAATTGAAGCAGCAGGTTCATTTTGTTACCTTTTTTCATGTATAGTTTTTAAAAGTTTTTAGATAATGATTTTGTTCAAATGTATTTTATGTGCATTTGCATGTGCACATGCGTGCACATGCGATGTGTACTTGTCTACCTATGTGCTTTTATGCGTTCCTGTGTATGTGTCCCTGCATAAGTGTGTGTGTGTTTTTGTGTGTGTATGTAGAAGGATAAGTAAAGTAAATACATAGATACATAAATAATAAGTAATTCTATAAGACCATGTTAATACATATGGATTACTATGATATATTTCTTGGAAACAGTGAACTGCAGAAATTTTCAATAGATATATTGAACTACAGAGATTTTCTTCAGATTTAGGATTTGTTTTCTCATTGTATTCATCTGTAGTCTCATTAATTGATTTTATGCATTTTTATTCCTTTAGATTCTGTTCAGATTCTAAGCAGATGCTCCTGGCTTAGAAATTCAGTTTAGTAAAGCAAAGGAGGTATGCATTTCCTTGGTGATATGAGTTCCAGATGAGATTTTATTCTGAAAACAAACCCGAGTGATTTTACTTACAGTAATGTGTATGCAAATCATGGGTTCCAGATGAGATTTTATTCTGAAAACAAACCCGAGTGATTTGTGTTAGGTTTTATTTCTTAACCATTTATATAGTGGGTAAGATGTATCACGTTTATTTTACCACATGGATAGAAAAAATGAATTGTATATTTTTTTCTGTACTGGTAACTTGTATTCCCTTACATTAATTAATGCTTCATAAACATTTTTGCAGTATGGACATATCTCTTCTATCTCTACTAAATAAAGTTATCTGTTGAATCCTACTTTGATTCTGTTAGACAAGAGATGAAAGAATGGAAAGAAAGTGAAGTGCAACATATAAAGCAGGTTTTTTATTAATATTCTTTAAATAGCTATTATTTTTGTTTGTTTGTGTATAGGAAATAGGGAGCATGATAGTGCCATATTGAGTCCTGCCATATAGCATAACTGGTGAAATTTCTGCCGTAGAGTGTGCCAATGTTCCTCTGTCTTCAAAACACCCTGGGTTCCATGCTGTACCTTATGGAGATAATACCGAGTGGAGGAGGCATGGTGGCTCTGGGGGCCAGCCTCATCACCATTGGAACGGCTGTAGCGGCTGTTCTGGCTGATATTGACATGACGGTAGGAGATTTTGTGTGAAGTGTTGTACGTAAACATTAGTACCTACGATAATGCCATGTTTCTGTTTTTTTGTATAGATTTTTCTGTTCACTGCATCTTCTATTTTTTGCTTAGATTTTCTTTTATATGTTCTCCTTGACATCACATCTAAGATTTAATGTGACAGAAGGAATCTACCCTTGATTATGAGGTGAATTCTACTATAATTGAAAATTCTCTAGAATAAGATTAATTTGTACCCTAATTTGTAATTGTTCATCCAACTCATTTTGAGCTAGTATCACTCCCCATGTTTAATTTTCAGATGTACTATTGGAAAATTATGAAGATTTCTGAACAAACTTTGTATTTGGCTTCCTTCTGATGCTTGTCTTTTATCATTACTATCATTGATACCATTGATTGCATGATGCTTTTTTCATACGCATCTTTCTTTTTACACTGTTAGTCATGGAACACCCATGCAATAGTGAATGGGTCTTGCAATGAGCATAAGGATGTGCCCTCACCTCTTAGCGGAAAAAAATTGATGCATCAGAATCTAATCTTAGATGCCTATCATGTCTTGGATAATAAAATGCAATGTTGTGTTGAACATTGCTGTGGTGATCACAGTGGGCGAAAGCACTTGTTGATGCCAGAGGTTAATGGCAAGCGTATTATGTTATATTATGTGGTGGAAGGCAAATATACTTGAGTCTGAAGTCAGCTTTAATTCAACATCATAGATATAATGACATTTACCATGACAGTAGATCACATATGATGAAGTGAAATTCCTACCAAATACAAAAGTTCTGAACACTAGATATATGCTAACTGTTTCAAATCTTTCACTCATTGATACCAGGAAGCATCTACCATCCACTATGGCTTTGTCAGTACACCCTCGGCAATAGTGAATGGGTCTTATCGTTTTCTTCCCTCCCTCTCGCTATTCCTTTCCCCTTTCCCTACCCCATCCGATGCCCCTTCCCCTTCCCCTTCCTCCTCCTCTCTCTCTTCCTCTTCCTCTTCCTCTCTCCTCTCTCTCTTCCTATTCCTCTTTCCCTTTCCCAGCCCCGTCCTTTTCTCCCCCTCCTTCCTCCCTTCCAGCCTCTTCTTTTAATCATTTTCTTTAAATTAAGGTTTTGAATTTAGTTTTCAGATTCACCTTATTTCTGGATGATGGTACATCTTGCGTGTGTAGCAGTACAAACACTTCATTCCAAGATTGCTGACGCCCGGTACACAGCCGTTGACCGACTCTACTTCTCCTATGTTTTCAGGTTAGTCTTTTTGTTAAAAGGGTGAGAGTGAGTAATATTAGATAGTAGGATTTGTAATTGATCATTTTCTTTTCATTATAGTGCTTGAATTCTGATATGATTTATGGTTTAGTAATTTGTTTACCTGGTGCCACCAGTGATGGCATGTACAGTCAGAGTAAAATTATAGTTACCCTTTACTCAAACTAATTTTAAAAGTCAACAGTGTTGTGGAACAGCGAGACGAGCCAGATAGCACTGTACTCTTACATATGTAGGTTTTGCGATACAGTAACATTATTATGTATGTGCTGGAGTCATTAAAAATAAGTAATATGTAAGTTCGATTATCTGTATGCAAAATAAAAAAGTGATAGAATAATCTTGAGTGGCAACACATACATAGTCCAAATAAAAAAAAAGGGGGCTCAAAAAAGTAAAGAGCGTTGTAATTAAGAACCAAGAGATGATGCGAAGGATATGTTTTTGTTGACGTTTATATTTCCTGCAGTTGTTTAAAGCTCAGGAAGAGAGGGATATGTGTTGAAGTTCAAGAGAGCATTGTTGTATAAACTCAATCTAATGATATATTTCTATAAACATATTCATGCCCTATTTTCAATGAGCAAAAATAAGGGCTGTATGAAAGGTTACATTTTTCCTACAGTCTCCCTTTTCTTTGAATTCATGCTTATCCCTCCTGGGAAATGAGGCAAAACAGTGCTACCTCAAAATTAGGTTGTTTTTACATTTGGAAAAGTCAAAATCAGGTAATCACCATTTTGGCTTTATCTGATATATCAGATGTCACTGTATGACAAATGAGCTGTCATCTCTTCCTGTGTTATTTTCCTTGTTTATTTCTGTGCAACCCTCTCGGACGTATAATGAAGTTCAACTGTGAGCATAAATTTCTATATAATGATATATATTTATTCTTTGATATTAATTTGTGTTGCTTAAAAGGAAAATAATACAATTTTATAATTTCAATTGTTTGTATTCCTTCCCCCTGCCTCTAAAACAGCCTCTAAATGGTGTGGCGCAATCTCACCATTACTCACTCCATTGTTTTATAGTGACAATAGCCCCATGCAAACTGTGAGACATCTCCATGGTGCATAAAGTGCATATACCATGCACAATCCATATTAACTTAGAGTCATCCTTGTAACGCATTTGCCAATTCATCTGAAGGATTTACATCCCCATATGAAGCATTGCAAACCCACTTCCAATTTATATAAAACACTGACACTAGAGGCTGCTTTGCATTATACCCCAATATACTGATAACAGTTTGACATGTTTTATACAGTAGCCAATGCCTGCATCATGAAGTGCCTGTGGAACACACGGTGACGCCAACGTTGGCGTCATAATTCCATTTGATTTTAGTTGTTGCTGAGTGATCCCATATTCTGAACTGGATCTATTTTTAGACTATACTGCCCTGGAGATTCTGTAGCTCCACACATCATCCCGGTTTCCACCATTCATATAGTCCTTCCTCTGTCCTCTGTCCTCCATATCCTCCTATTCCTTTACCTCACCCCATACCCCTCCACCTGGGATGGGTCACCATATGGGGGGTTCACTTCCCCCCTCCCTGGTTCATTTTTTGTCCTCATATCCCCTCCCTCTCCTTCATTTCTCAAACATTTTACTCCAAATATCTTTGAACAATTTCATATTTGACAAACATTGCATCTCAGTCTCTCGCATTCTCTCTCGAGTGCCACTGTGTGTGTGTGTCACAATTTCTTCAGAGCAGTATGATGTTTTCTTGACATAAGTTACACCTTATTTCAGTTCATATAAAAGCCATTATTCAAGAACAGATAAATTTTCTTTGACAGTGTTGTTGTGTTGGCGCCTGCATCGCTGTATCTCGAGGAGGCTTTTGAAGTTCTGCACTTTCCACATGCAGTGCGTTATGATTTCTACGCAGGTTGCCTTTTCTCAGGAGTGTTGGGCCTTTTCCTCAATCTCACGTTGATGAAGGTAAGAAAATCTGGTAGGCAGATAGATGAATGGATGGATGAGATAGATAGATTGATAGATAGATGACACAAGGATGGATTGATGGATAGAGAAATATATCTGATTATTAGATAGATTGGTATGTAAATAGATAGATTGATTAATATGAACATATAGATGTTCATTTGGAAATAAGGCATGTGAAATTGTTTTTTCATGGGAAATGGAAAATTTCACATGGTTATATCATTCACCATTCTTTATAGAAAGTAGAGTTTCTCACACACTTCTTGACTTTTCATGCAGTCACTTTGTACTGCTGCTTAGCTCTATAGAGATATTAGGTCCATCAATCCCTTGGATCTGGTTGGTTCATGACAGTTAGATGGCCTTAAATCCAGGCATTAGGTTTACAAGAGCAGCCACTCTGACAGGTGTGTGGTTTGTGGGCCATGTACACCAAAGGAGTCTAATCACCCTCTAAGAGGTTTGCACACTCGTAGTGTCTTTCCCATCAACCTGGCCTTCAGCTGAAATGCTCACAGTAGCAAGTTTACTTCAGCTGGGTCCACTGTCAGATTTTCCCATGACGGCATGTTCATGTTACCAGCCCCTCAAGCTAATTTTTTCATGACTTTATGGAATGAAGGGGTCACCATAGTAAGAGTCAACAAATGGGCAGATATAGCAGAGCAGGTAGAAATTATAGGCCTTCTCTCTAAGTCATTTACAGTTTCAGTTTGACCAAGAGAGTCAGGGAGTGTCTGGAGTGTTCCAGGTCTTCCTTGGGTGCAATCTGCCCCCCCAAATTCTCTGCCCTTCATTATCACATCAAGCCTTTTGTAATTTCACTGTCAATTACTGAACTTTAGCTTCAAGAATGTTACATATGTAATCCCCCACCTGTACCAATACTTTTGTAAACATTGTATTTAAAGAGATAGAAATTGGATAGGTCAGAGATTTTCAAAATCTCAAGTGCTAATGGGTATGAGGAAAGTAAGAGTGTATAAAAACCATTTTAATATTTCTTAACAGGTTAAGCGGTATGCTCTCTTCTCCGTCGTTGATCCAGTTGGACGATTACTTACCTCTGTGCTGGCTTTAGCAACATTCCCTGATGTGACTACTAGTATGGTCAACATTCTAGTGTGCATCAACCTAATATCTGCTGTGTTTGTGCCGGTCCCAGTCCCAAAGGATGAAGATGAAACGGAAGAAACTGTGGACCTGTTACGGGAAGGAGTTTGAAGTGTGATGAGGGTACAGTCATGTTCGATGGGCTGCTTTTGGATACTTTTGTTATACAACGGATTTTATTTAGAATATAAAAAGGATAAAGTGAATTTTTTTAAGTGCTAATTTATTTTTAGATTTTTCTCTTATATAGTCATATTTTACCAATTATTTAGATTTAATATCAATATGATATTTTTATATTATAGACATTGAAAATGTGCTGTGGTAATTTAATGCAACATAGGATGAAGGCAGTGAAGTAAAATACGTGAGCATATCATCTCATCTCTGTTAATGATCATTGCATCATCACTTAGTGATATGAAGCTTTATGTCTTCCTTTACGTCTCTCTACCAAACTTTATATTTTGTGTGAATGCAGAAATATGGATATAGGCTTGAGTTTGTTTGTGAATATGTATTGAATGGTTTAAGGGCCTAAAGTTTTGGATGAAATTTAGGAACTGGTGTGTAAAACATGCTGTTTCATGACAGTAATTTCCATTAACTTTATCTTGCTCTGTGAGAGCAATAATTCAATTGTCTGGTGCTGCAGGTGAAGGAATCTTATACAGATTCAATCATTATTACAAAGAAGTTTTCCAAGAATTTCAGTATAAGCCTCACTGGTGTGGAAATAATGATAATCAAGTCTCATTAAATATCTAATTTGTAGTAGGAAGTGAATTATTATAGATCATTTACATGACATAATCTCCTTAGTATTTGCAAAGCATATTCCCCATGAATGCTAGGTCTTCAAAATAGTACTTTGTTCATAATTTTCCTGTTAACATCAAAAATCATAAAATTTCAGAGTCCCAGACGTCTGTATTTCAGTGTTGTATTTATTGCTTTAAAAGAGGACACTGTCGTCCTTTTCGTTCTCTTTATACCATGTCTACAGGCAGCAAAGTCAGTAAAAATGAAATAAGACAGATGTTCATTCTTTTTATTTCCCTAATGACTTAAGAGGAAAGTAAACAGAAAGGATTTTATAGTAAACCACAAGATGGGTCCTTTACGAGAGAATACTATGCTGTTGAACTTGGAGTAGATTGTTGTATCACCAGTCATTGGCAAGTCAACCTGTAATCACTGCTACATAAATAATCTTTTAGGTCAAGTGTACTACTATATGAAGATAAAATTTGTAATAAAAAATGTAATGTTTTTATTAATTGCTTCAGCTTAGATATTCCACCTTCATTTTACATTTAACTGGTTATCTGTAGTTTACTATTTTACAAGTTTACAGTGAGCCATACAACATTCATTTTCAGACTTTCCTTAAGGTGTGAGATAGAAGAATATCTTGTATAATGTATACCCAATTATGTCAACATTCTGAAATTAGGGAAAAAAACACTTGTACAAATGTATTTCTTGTTTTATATGTGTATGTCCAGTCTATGCAACATAAATATTTTATATGTGTATGTCCAGTCTATGCAACATAGATTATTGATGCCACTGACAATGCCCAATGTCTGTGAAGGGTGACAGCATTTATGAAACATCAAGATGCAGTTGGTTATGATTCTCATGTTTAAAGATGTGAATGACAGCATTTATTTACAAGTGAATACATATGCATGTATATATTTAGCACCAATAAGCAAACTATTCTGATTTGCACGTGTACATACCATGATATTGAGATTTTTACATTAGTCAGGTCCTGAAGTCCATTTTTGGGTTCCTTACAGATATGAATGAATAGGTGAGAAACATTTACCCCCTCCTAAAATCTACATATATATATATATTATATATATATATATATATATATATATATATATATATATATATATATATATATATATATATAGTATAAGTTCATCACATCAAGCTTCACACATACTGCTCAAATACCTCAGACCACAATATCACATTACTTAACCAGTAAAACAACCTGAAAATACACTTATAACAATAAAAAAATGACTTGATACACATAAAAGAGAGTAAGGGAGGAAGAAGAAGGAAAACTATAGTACACATTCCTGCATTACTGGCATCACATGAAAGTCTCTTCCTCTACTCAGTCTAGTTGGTCTATGACATATAAACAATGCGTTCCTCTGGCATTGTAGGTGTAGGTGATTAGTTTGACATAAGTGTGGTAGTGAAGATTAGGACATGAAATGAAGAGCTGAAAAGAATGAGTTGAAATTAGTACACTTTATCTTACAGAATACCTGAATTAGTGAAACTGTAATGTGAGTGCATTTAGCGTAAAGGATCCTAGCGTTGGGTAGGTTTTACTTATATTTTTAACAATTTGTAATATATACATATACATATATATACACATATATGTTTTTTTTTTTTTATAAGCTGCATATAGTTGGGTACTAAGACTCAAATGAAGTATTCCCCACAAACTCAGATGTATGGAAAATATCCCTCAACAATTATTCAAAAGCAAAAAAAGTTCAAAATCAGAGGAGAAAAATCATACTGATTAGCTATGTTGGTTGAAAGGCTTTAAGAGTTATAGTATAAAAAAAAATGGCATCGTTACATGCTGCTCGCACCATTGCTTGACTAGGGAGAAGAATGTCAGTCTCCCTTTTCCAATGTTCTGCACTTAATATATATCAAGTTCTGGCATTGTTCAGGCGTTGAGCAAGTGTCCTTCTAGACCGTTCAAGTCGTTCTGATTATTTAGCGATACGGGTTTTTCGTCTCCCGTTTTTTTTCAAATAAGACAAATCCCCATTTCTATGTTTAACAAAGGAGACAGACCACCTTTCAATGGATCTTTGCATGGCGGATAATTTCAATCCAGGATTTCTACATGGAGATCACTTTTCGTATTTCCGAAGTGGAGGAATGAGAAATGTCCGTTCTGCCGAAATCATGAGGATTTGTTTGGTTACGTAGTCAAAACATGCGGGTGTCCGGTCCCTTGATAGAAACATGTCTGGAACATGTCAGAAGTCGACCACGCCGAAAACCCACGAGGTGTTCTTTAATTGGTAATTACGACTCATATGTATTCGAAGAACTGTTCTTGATTCACCCAGCCTAATTGTGTCAGCCTGAATATATCCTACAAATAACAAAAAAAATAAATAAAAAGATCAATAAAAGAGGAACGCCGCAACCTTCCCAAGCATTTAGAAAAAAAAAGTTAATGGTTGAAATGAATAAATGTGTAAGACATCAAAATCATACAACATTAAGGGTCATAAAAGGAGAATATTTCCCCAGTCATGATAATATGAAGACGCCCCCCCCCCCCTGCACACTGTATTGTTGTAGAGAAACATTCCAATGAAATGGAAATTAATGCAGGTTAGATACAAAATACATTATAAATTCGGTCTTGAAACTTAACCAGTTTTACTTTTTAACAGATAATCTCCATACATACTGCCCTAGTAACTGTCATAATGATTGCATTTTGTTGAAACTTTTTTGCGCTTGTTACTAACCGAACTACCGATAGAAAAATGAACTGCACAAGCAACGTGTTTCGTAATTATAAAATGTACAGCATCGTGAGGTTTTTAATGCCAAAGTTTATTTCACGGTGTATGGGCATTTCGCTCTACCAGTTAACCCCAAAACCTCTCTAATCATAATTAGTAAAAAGATGGAGGTTGGGAGGGGAGGCTGCTACCATTTTGGTTGTGAGATTATCTAAAGGTTTATAAATTCGGTGTAAGATAAGGATATGCCAGGGCAGAGCACTCCAGAGAAATAAAGTTAGGTTGGCTGAAATTAATTTGAACATCATATTTTAGCGAGACAGGAAAACTGGTTAGGTCGAGTGAATTCCTCTTCGGATAAAGGTGGAGCTGGCTAACCCGACAGCGTTTTTTTCTCGCCTTCGGAGTTTACATTAACCATGCCTGTCAAAGCAGATTCCCACTTTACATAATTTGTAAGTCGTGTAGAACGAAAGCTTCTAGGGTTTGATTATTAACTCTTTGATGATATAGTACGGTATGCTTATATAATAACCTCCGAACATAGTTTCATTTGTCTGCAAATGACGGAAAACCGTATGCCCCACCCAGACTATGAAAAAAATAAAATGCCACATGGAGCAACCACTTGCGATAATAGAGAAACGTGTATTTTAATATTCTCTTTGGTTAGAATTGAATTTTCGCACAAATATACCTTCTGTGAAGAAAACCAACACAAAAAACATTAACATTCAGCATCCCTGTAATATTTGCGACGAAACAAGCGAGCGCCGCCTTGCGCAATCTCTATTTACATTTTGAGTTTCAATTCATATTACATGTTTTTCTAGACTGCGAAGGGGAACTCCAGCCACGTGGCAGCCGATAAACCTCGCAAAGGCGTAGGAAAAGTAAGAGAAGCACGCAGAATAAGCTGTCGTTTTCCCGTTTCCGTGAAATTGTTTTTTGTAAACTTAGGGAGCAGCGTCAGGAACGGGAGGGCTGAACACGGCAAAAAACCCACGTGTGTTTAAGCGAGGATTTTGGGCAACAAGAACACCCTTGTTCACCCTGTCCCATGCTGTAAGGGTGAGGACGTACATAATTTACTATATGCATGAGCTGTGCTAGATTCATCATAAACTGTGGCGTAGATTTGGGATAAGAAGTGGAATCGATCTGTGTATCCTGCGAGGTTGGGTGAGGATTGCCCTCCAGTTATACCTCGATTTACACGCCTTTTACGGAGCTTTCGTAACATTTTCAGCAGTTTATAACGTGTAAGTAGAATAGCAGACGTTTAGGCCTAGGTGAAATATGGAAAAGAGGGAAAATCAGAACGAAAATGGTTAGATTTTGGAGGCGAACATCTCATAGGTTTTACCCCTTAAAATGGATTAGTACTAACCCTAAAAAAAGTTTCTGTGCTTTAGGAGACTGCCTCCGCGAGTGTGAAAATGCTGAAGCATAGGTTGTGCAAGTGGAATGGAGTAGAGAGTAGCTCATTATAATATAGATATATTTATTATATATAGGGTATCTTGTAACAAGCAACAAAGGTTATATTAGTGTTCTATATAAATATATTACATAACTTAAAATACTTTAATTATTATTTAATTTTATCGAAGTTATTAAGTGTGGCTCCTCTAATATATGATATTGCGAATTAATGACTATTATTGCTATAATAGACTATACCTCTATTTAATATTATTTTTATCTTTAACTATAGAGTGTTGTTTAAAAAAAATATATTACCTTTACTCATGGATATTGTTTCGACTCTCTTGATACCTCATACATAGTGTCTCATGTGTTGTGTGGTGATGATTGCTTGTTGACTGTTGCCATTGTTATGAATGTATGGTTATACCTTTGATTTTTATTATATGTGGAATTATAGATTTTTGCAGACTGTCCTTAATCGTCGACAAGTCGATAATAAGCTTTATTTAATATATATCTAAATTAAAATAATATACTAAGCGAGTAGTCAATATAGTCTCAGTCAATTCGTGATGATTATTCGTCTGTTAATATTTTTTAGACTTAAAGATAGGTATCTCAATATAGGTTATTTTGGTTAGGTATTAATTGAGTTTGTCGTTGGTGGTTGAGTTTTCGATCTTGTTGAACGGTTATTTAACCTTCCGACCGTACAGGTGCGTCCTGGGCTTGAGGATGGTAGAGACGTTATATATTATACTATTATTACTCTCGATAGCTAGTAGGTGTGGCTCGGTCTTCTCTGGTGTGTTAGTGTTAGCTGGTGTCTCTTTGCCTTCAGGTGACGTTAGGCATATATACATTATTGTATCTAAAGTATATTATATATTAATATATTCTACTATAATATATTATATTAACATATTATTATTATATATACTTATTTATTTACATTGTATATAAATATCAGTTTATATTCATTATATATATATAGTATACTATATATATATTATATATATTTGTATTATATATATATGAAATATATATTATATATATATATTAATAATGTA